TATATGAAGAAAAATGTGGCATCATGATTGTAGGAAGATTCATTAACAACCTGAGATATGCTAATGATAAAACCTTGCTTGCTGAAAATGAAGAGGACATAAAGTACTTACTGATGAATATCAAAGATCACAACCTTCAGTATGGCTTGCACCTCAATGTAAAGAAAACAAAAATCCTCATCTCTGGATCAATAAACATCATATAAATGGAGAAAAGATTGAAGTTGTCAAAGGCTTTATTTTGCTTGGATCAACCATCAACACTCATGGAAGCAGCAATCAATAAATCAAACAACACATTACATTAGGCACATCAGTTCCCCAAGACCTATTTAAACTGCTCAAGAGCAAAGTTGTCGGTATGAGAATTTATGTGCACTTGACCTAAGCCATGGTATTTTCAATAACCTCAATTCATGTGAAACTTGGACAGTGGATAAGGAAGACCATAGAGGAATTGATACTTTTGAGTTACGGTGATGGAGGAGAATATTGAAAGTGCCATGGGCTGCCAAAAGAACCAACAGATCTGTGTTGGAAGAAGTACAGCCAGAGTGCTCCTTGGAAGCCAAGATGGCCAGACTTCATACTTCCGACATATTATCAGCAGGGACCAGTCCCTGGAGAAGGATATCATGTTTAGTAGAGTGGAGGGTTGGAAAAAAAGAGGAAGACCCTCAACAAGATGGATTGGCACAGTGGCAGCAGGAATAGGCTCAAGCATAGCAGTGATTGTGAGGTTGGCACAGGACCAGGCAGTGTTTAGTTGTGTTGTGTACAGGGTTGCTATGAGTTGGTACCAACTCGATGGCACCTACAATAACAGACATCCCTACAAGATAGGTTCAAGCACAGAATGCAGCAAGCTGGATACTCTGCTTTATCTCTTACTGTCCTCTACCATGGAAAGTAGTATTTTGCCATTTAGAACTATACTCTACCATGAAAAGGATTGCTTTGTGTATTAGACTCCATGGACTTCTAACTGAATCAGTTATGAAGTAGCCTAACCCAGCAAAATGGCCATGTTTCCTTTTTAAGAAGGATGTCAATTACAAGGCATCAAAATCAGTGAGAATCTTGTTCTAATGATCACAACCTGGTACAAATTCAGCCAGAATCCCTGGTTTGCTTTTGAATAGCCCATCATTGTTAGAATTAAGATTTCTGCAAGTCAACCAATAATTAGTTTCCTTTTAAATTAGGAGTAGACTTGGCTGAATTTGTTTAAAGATACTATGTTCTTGTAGTCTTCAGCTTTAACCATGCAAGTGTGATGTGTGCCTTGCATGTAGATTAATCTTCAAACATTTTCTTTTAATAATTTTCTTTTCAGTGCTACAAAGCTGCTGAGAATGCACAGTTTTAGGCAAGAAATAACTGTGGTTAAAAAAAAAAATGTAGCTGCTTAACTTGATTTTGCGTTAATCAAAGTTAGGATTTAGAAGACATATGACAAACCCCAGTCATTGACTAGACAAGCCTTGGAACATATCCATTTCTATCCTTCTCCCACTATACAGGATTTGCCATTAGGAGATACAATTATTAATGAAGAGAAATGATCTTTGAAATTCTGTAGATTCAACAATGACTTGCTTTCTATTACTTGGAATTCCTTTTATCACTCTTCTAATAGTGACCCCATGCGACAAAGTAGAACTGCCCCATAGGATTTTCTTGGCTGTAATCTTTAGGGAAGTTGTTGTTAGGTGCCATTAAGTTTGTACTGACTCATAACAACTTTATGCACAATAGAACAAAACACTGCCTGGTCCCAGGCCAACCTCACAATTGTTGCCACACTTGAGCCCATTGATGCTGCCACTTGGCCAGTCCATCTCGCTGGGGTTCTCCCTCTTTTTCTCTGACTCGCCACCTTACCAAACATGATATCCTTCTCCAGCGATTGGTCCCTCCTGACAATATGTCCAAAGTCTGAGAGACGAAGATTGGCCATCCTGGAGGTAGATCAGTGGGTATTTCTCCTGAGGAGCCACTGGATGGGTTTGAACTGCCAACATTTCAGTTAGTAGCTGAGCACTGAACCATTGTGCCACGTGGGTTTTCTGTGAGCCAAAATTGACTCAAGGGTACTTAACAACAAAGACATCAGATTGATTCCTTTCATTTTGCTGTCGTCATTTATGGCAAACAAGTTGACGTTTTGAAAACTGCTCTGCACTCATGTTCTTTCTTGTATCCTAAGCCTTTTTTCTTTGTCTTCTTTCTGGACTTGATTCTTTTTTTTTTTCCACCCCCCTACTTCTCTTAGGATCTTTCCCTTTCATATATCCTACTATTTTCGGTGGCATAGCACACTAGTTAGGAACATGGGTTCTAGAGTCAGATAGGCTGGGTCACATTTTGACTCTGCTGTTTACTGGCTGTGTAACCTTGAACAAGCTACTTAACTGCTTTCTTCATCTGTAGAGTGGGGCTGAAGGAACCCTGGTCTCTCGTGATTAAGTTCTTGACTGATAACCACAGGTTCGTTGGTAGTTCTAACCTACCAGAAGCTTCTCAGGAGAAAGGACCTGGCAATGTGTACCAGTAAAGATTCGTTGTTAAGTGCTGTCGAGTCATTTCCAACTCATAGTGACCCTGTATAGGATTTCCAAGGAGTGATTGGTAGGTTTGAACCACCAGTTGTGGTTAGCAGTCCAGGACTTATCCTACAGTGCCACACCAGGACTCTTCATTAAAAATTGGTGGTTATGTGTCGTGGAGTCGGTTCCAAATCATGGCAACCCTGCATAGGGTGTCCGAGTCTATAAATCTTTACGGAGCAGAAAGCTTCATCTTTGTCCTGTGGAATGGCTAGTACTTTGGAACTGTTGACCTTGAGGTTAGCAGCCCGACTCGTAACCACTACTCTGCCAGAACTTTCAGTAAAGATTGTTGTTGTTGTTGTTAAGTGCCATCAAGTTGGTTCTGACCCATAGCGACCCTGGATAGGGTTTCCGGGGAGCACCTGGTGAGCTTGAACCGCCAACCTTGCAGTTCAAACAGCTTTACAGTCTGGCACATTAACCTACAGCGCCACACTAGGACTCTAGACTAGGAAATCCAGTAGGCCAATTCTGTTCTGTCATATAGGGTGGATATGAGTTGAAAATGGACTTGGTTGGCACATGACAACACAGTAGGAATGATAATAGTAACTGTCTCTAGGATTGTTAGGCTTTATTAATGAGATGATTCATGAGATGCTTCTAAAAGTGTCTGACTCCAAGTAAATGTCAACTCTTATTACTACTGTCGACCTAAAGATGGGTGGTGCAAACCGACCCTGCAGTACTGCAGAGACAAAGACCAGGCAACATGCTTGTACTAATATCACAGTCAAGAAAACCTTATGGAAAAGCAATTCTACTCTGTAATGTGGTGTTGCCGTGAGATGCATTGGACTTAACAGCAACTAACAGTAACAACCATCACAAATCAGTTCACCAGCTGAGTGTAACTGACTACCGGATCTTTACCAGTAGTTCTGAAGTCTGTGATGTTTGTCCCTGGAGCATTTATCCTTCAAATTCAACATGGTCAAAACAAAAGTCATCATTCATCACCAAACTTACTCCATTGAGTTTTACTCTACATTTCTGTTACTGGCATCAAATACAAATTTCTTCTAGTTTATTTAATTGTAGACTCTTTCCTTATCCTAAGGAGACAATATGAATACGTACAAATTTAGTATGAGGGTGTTCATTATTTATAGTTTTAAACAAGAAAAAGTAAAGGATTAGATGAATAAACTGTCATTTATATAGTAGAATTTTATAGAACAATTAAAAATGATATAGAAGAATATTGTTTAACATGGAAAGTTTTACTTTATAATTTCATAATAAAGTAATATTACTGAGTATCAAGTTGAAATACAATACAAGAAACAAAATACAATACCATACTATTTTGATTTCTAAAAATGTATGGATGAATAAAAAATAGAGTAGGAAGTCACTGAAACAATTTGTAGTGATTTTTTTTCTGGCTTGTAGGATGATAAGTGACTTAGATTTTACCTTTTTTTGCCTCGTTGTAATTTTCTAGAGCCATGATATGTTTCATATAAGGGAGGGAAAAATCAAAACCTCACATTTAGAAAAAAAAACTGGGATCGGTAATAATTTGCTCCTAAAAGTGTCAGTCTGGCAAATATTTGTATTATGTGTTATTGACCATACAGCAGTGACTGAGAACAGTGCTCGGCACATAGTAGGCACTCAACAAATGTTTATTAAATGTCAAATGAAATCGTTTTACCTTGCTAGGGTTGTCTAAAAATAACTTAGTAAAGTTATTTAGGCAGGTTGTGTTTTTCTAAAAATGCATCTATTTCCTCTAGATTTTCAAATTTGTTGGAGTACAGTTCTTCATAGTACTTTGTTATTATCTTTTTTATTTCCATTAGTTCTGTTGTAATGTCTCCCATGGGATTTCTTATGCGTGTTATTTGTTTCTTCTCCCTCTTTACTTTTGTTAGGTTTGCCAGAGGTTTGTCAGTTTTATTAATCTTTTCATAGAACCAGTGTCTCATCTTGTTGCTTTTCTCTATTGTTTTTCTGTTTTCTGTCTTATTTATTTCTGCTCTAATCTTTATTATTTCTTTTCTTCTGGTGGCTGTGGCTTTACTTGGCTGTTCTTTTTCTAATTGTTGGCGATACTGTGTTAGTTTGTTGATTTTGGTTCTTTCTTCTTTTTGTATGTATGCTTTTAGTGCAATGAATTTTCCTCTCAGCACTGCTTTTGCTGTGTCCCTAAGGTTTTGGTATGTTGTGTTTTTGATCTCAATCATTTCTAGGAATTTTTAAATTTCACTTTTTATTTGTTCTACAGTAAAGTTATTTAGTTAAGAGGGTGCAATGCTTCAAGCAGGAAGTTTTTAGAGTTCCTTGAAAGGTACTCATTTTTTGGAAGAACATTTCTCAGTAATTAAACCAACGTGGGTGTGGTGAATGTTTTCTAACACTATGTAAATTTTATCATTTCAGTGGATATTGGAACCCAAAAGAGAGCATTTGGAACTGATTCTTCAGAAAAGGTATTTGCCTCTGTAAAATTTACTTGTAAACCAGAACCAAATGACTTTCATCTTAGAAATAAACCCATCTTTCGTCGTACTTCATCACAGTGTCCAGAAGAGGAACAGGTAATAAGACAGTACATCTGTAGAAATGGTGTTGTATTGTTACCCGAATGTGCCATTGTGCCTGATGCACCGCAAGCCAATTCAGCCAAACGGAATGAAGAGACAACAGAATTTAATCACTTAGGCGTAAGCTGGAAACAGAGTTTCAGCAGTCCCTGTGTATCTGCCTCAAGAGCATGTGGGTAAACAGAGTCTGTATATATTTTGTGAAAGCTAACAGTTAGTCTACGTGTTCCATTTTCAAGCACAGAGGTATTTTGATCATATGGAAGAAAGAAACAAAAACTTGTTCAACCCTCGCTGTAAATGTTACTGAATCAGGGTATCCCCAACAGCTGTAAACTTTACCTTGAGAGAAAGGAGGAGGCATCAGCTACAGGCAAGTCCAGTGTTTTCTTCAAGGCTTACTTCTTGGGAAGGTCACATTTTAGAATTGGCCATCCTCAGTTCCTGAGCCTTGGGATTTTATTTTAATAAAATACAATAAAGAGAGACCATAACAGTGCAAGAAACATTGGGCAGTTATTGAATCAGTAACTCAGACTCCTAATTCTAGGAGTGTGCCATTGGGACATGCGACTGAAAATCATTATATGACAGGGCATCCAAAAGTTCATGGAAACATGGAATTCAAAGATAATGGAATTTTCCTTCAACTTTTGAAGCCCCTTCATGATTCCAACAGCCAACGTTTATGAAAATACCTTGATTAGCTGCTGGTTTTCATTAAAAGTCTAAAGTATCTTCTATCTATAAATTACTGTTGAAATGATTTCTCTCTCAACAATTTTCCTTTAAATAAATTTTTTTTGGGATTGGTGTTTGAGTGAAATGATACTTTTTTTTTTTTGTTTTGTTTTTAAAACCAGTCCTAGCCTAGCTTCATGTCTCTCAGATTTCAAATAGAATCTTCCATCTTGGTTTTTCCAAGATTTGGTCACTAAATTTGGTTGGGTGTTCTCTTCCTAATTTTCAAGACTATCTAGTTATGATTTTTAATTAGCAAAGAATCCAAGTGGAAGCTTCTCTATTTTCTTAGCCATATGAGTTTCTGCTTTCTACGTCATCATAACTTCCCTTTGATATTGTGAACAGAATTTTATTATGATATTATGATTTGATACAAGGGAACACATATCTCTGTTAGAATTGTGTTTATGTATACCAGAGATTTGTCATTCTTTATTTCCAGAACTTTCTCATACTGAGATAGTTGTGATCCATGAACTTTTGAGGTTTTTCTTCCCTGTGGGATTCACTCATTACTGGAAATCAGTAGCCATGGAGATTGCAGGTATTACATATGAAACATTTGATCAACACGTGAAAACTGTCCTTCAAGGTTACATTGGAGTGGAACGGGTTGGGAAGTGGTCTAGTGAGTGGGGAGGTTTTATTTTATACTTGGGAAAGCTGAGGTTAGGTAATCTATTCTAGGTTACCCTGTGCATGAGTGTAGAGGACAGGAGTGGAGGCCAGCCTTCTTGAAACTGATTCCCTGACCAGTGCTGTAACGTATTGAATCGGGTCCATCATGCATAGCTAGTTATTGGAAGGGGAAATTTTTTTCTTGTTGGAAGGACTACAAGATCAGCTTTTTAGTTTTTGGTTGTTTCATTTTGCCATTAATATGCCTTCCCTGTATTTTCAGATCGTGATGAATGAAAATTGGAGAGTTGACAGTTCTTTTCAAGGTGATCTGAGTCGGGCAGGAAAGGTCCATTGTCTTCCAGGACGCATTGCTGTCTCTCCTACAAAGGTAGAGAATTCAGCAGGTTTTTGCATTGCTCTCTCTCACACAAAGTTAGGGAATTCAGCAGGTTTCTGCATTGCTGTCTCTCCTACGTAGTTAGAGAATTCAGCAGGTTTCTTTTTTTATTTTTGAATAGGTGCTTGAGTCCCTGAAACTAACCTTGCTTGACTGAGTTTTGGTTGTTTTTCCCTCAAAGTTTAACAAATGGAAGGAATGCTTTGGTAGACTATGACTTTAGTTCCCATTAGCAAACACTGTTAAGAGAAGCAACAGTACAACAGATTATCAAATTATGGTACTGAAATTTATCACATGGAAGCAGATGCATTACTGGGGTGCCAAAAAATTAGGATAGTTATGTATTTTGAAGCAATGGCAGCTACCAAACTGTAGGATAAGCACTGGACTGCTAACCACAAAGTTGGAGGTTCAAACCCACCAGCTACTCCTCGGATACCCTATGAGTGGGAACTGACTCGACAACACCTAACAACAACAACAACAACACACTATATAGCAAGCAGCTATGTTAACGTAGTGGGTTATGAGTTGGGCTGCTAACCACAAAGTCAGAAGTTCTAATCTACCAGGCCCTCCAAGGGAGAAAGATGAGGATTTCTGTGCCTGTAAAGGTTTACAGCCTTGGAAACCCTATTATATAGGGCCCTTAGGAGTCAGAACCGACTCCACAGTACATAACCACCCTCACCACTCTATGAAATATCCTATGTAGTACTCATGGTCTGGCCTGACAAATTAGAGAAAGACTCAGCCTTATTGTGAATTTCAGTGAAGAAATCTAACTTGGTGAGCTTAAGGTATTTGTCATGCACACGTTTCATTCAGTTTGTGGACATAAAAAGCATCTGACTTTAGCCCTTTACTCGTCTTCATTTCGTTGGTACCAGTGGTGAAGTCATTCTCTTATTTCCACTCTTTGATATTCACCTGAGATGAATTAGTTCATGTCTGAATGTTACCATTTTGTTAATCTAAAATGTCTCATTGTCAGCTTGCTGTGAAAAGCAGTATTCCACATGGAATAGTGTTCATTAAAATGCTTCTATTGTGTCTGTAAAGGTCATTTGCTCTACTTTTGACCTTTGAAGTAATTTTCAGTTTTATTTGCTTGAAAGAGAAAACACTTGATTTTTTGCCCTGCTCACCTCTCTTGTCCCTTAGCTAGGGCAGGATGATTTTGTTTGAACTTCACTCTCCCACTTTCTTTGGTTTTGACTCGTCCAAGTGCTATAAGACAGCACTGGGTAGGATAATATGCTCATCATTGCTATTTGCTTAAGAACATAAAGTTAAAACAAACAAAAGCAAATCAAGAAACAGAAACACCATTTTGTGCTATCATGGTTGTAGTATATACTCTGGGATAGAATCTGGAACAAAGTTTGTTGTCAAAAAAAATCTCCAAATATTTATTTTTCCCCCCTTTTAGAATAGTGATTTTACTGTGGTGCCCACAAAACCCAGGCCTGCTTCCAAATGTTCTGCTTCTGCCAGATGTCTCTGGAAGAACACATTGAGCACTGAGATTCAAAGATGTGAGAAGAATGGATTCTTTGACCCTTCAGTGCATTTCTCCTTTAGTTCTTAGGAAAATGATGTTAGGTCTAATGAAAATGATGTTCATCTTTTTTTTTTTTTTTTAGGTAGACAATTTCTTAGATTTAGAAGATTTGAACATAGAAGATATTAAGCCCCAAATAAGCAACGGTATGTGTTCGATTTTATTGTCTGTACCATTTGACCTCCTTCTAGAAACTATAAATAAGGCCTCAGGTAGTTTCTTTTTTTCTAGAAATCCCCACTTCCACTTGTCTCTGTGTTGTGCAGAGTGCTTGGCTGCTAATCAAAAGTTTGAAGATTCAAGTACACCCAGAGGCCTGGTGACCCAAAAACAAACAAACAAAAAACAAGCCGCCATTGAAAACTCTTTGAAGCACAGTCCTATCCTGACACAAACGGGATAGCCATGAGCCAGAATCAGCCCAGCAGCAACTGTACTGGCATTTTTACCTTGCCTGAGATGGGGACAAGCGGAGTTGTACACTTCTCTTTTAACACAGAAGATTTCAGCTCTTGAAACTGTAAAGCCTTTGGTCTTACAGGAAATAAAGGTGACCCCTCTCCAGTTTACCACTTGACTGATCTTTGGCTATCTCAAGTAGATCCACTGATAGTGAACCCTTGTTTTCCATCCTAGAAGCACGTGTTGTACGCTGAGATGAATTTAGAGGGATTCATAAGTTATCAGTTAATCATAAAAATCAGTCACAGAAATAGCAAAAGGAATCACAAAACGATCCAAAATTTAAAATCCAAAGTTTTATGTTTAGAAATACTTATTAAAGGGGGAAAAAGAAAAATCCATTTGAAATAAGCCTAGAGCTTTCTGTTCTCCTTAACAAGGTCTGCCTTTTAAGAAACTATTTACCGGAGCCTAACAAACTTGGGGGCATCTCTGGGTGGGGCAAATGCCTAAGAAAAATAAATAAATAAAATAGGCCAGGGGAAAAAAAAAATGTCTAACAAAACACTTAATACTGAAGTGATAAGCGGTCCTCCTGGTCTGGATTAGGGCAGGCGTCTCAATGCTAGACCCCTGCTGGCTCTGACGCCTGTTTCCTTTCCTGGCTGAAGTTCCTGTAGAAGCAGAGGTGTCCTCCTTGCTCAAAACATCTTTCAAGTGTGCTTAGAATTAGGGTGGTTTGTTTTGAAAGCACTCACTTCTGGTATAATATGCAGTAGTATTTCAAAGTCAGTGCTAAATACTGGGAACTGGGAGAAGCATTTCCTTGGGGGTATCACAGTCTTTGTTGTTGGTGGTAAGTGCCATGAAGTTGGTTCTGACCTATAGTGACTCTCTGTAGGGCTTCCAAGGAGTGACTGGTGAGTTTGAACTTCCGACCTTACAGTTAGCAGTCCAGTGCTTATCTTACAGCACCACACCAGTCATAAATGTGAATTGTGGTCGTTATTGTTGGGGGTGGGTCTTACTTATAATCAGATAGGAGTTTAAGTAACGGGGTGCAATTGATTTGGGGCTGGGGACTCTGCACATTGGTTTAGGAGCTTTTCCTCTTACTTCTCTGGCTTCCTGATAATTGGAAAACTTTGATAACTGGAAGCAATGAATGGATTCACAAACCCACACCACTCCAATGAAGGGATCGTTCCCCCCCCACATTATTAACCCGTAGACTTTGCTGACCTTTAGTTTATGTATTTGACTCAAGTGAAATCAGAGATAGAAAGAAATCACACCCTCCAGGGAGATGTCCTCTAATTTAATGTCCGTAGGAAAGCAGGTTAGGGTTCTGATTGGATTAGAAGGGAATGCTAAGGACTTGTCAGGAAGCTGCAAGTTCCAGAGAAGCACATTGGTTTTTGGTGTAACTGTTGGCAGGGGAGTGGGAGGGG